CCCCAAAACCCCAAAACCCCAAAACCCCAAAACCCCAAAACCCCAGATTCCAGTTAATATATTGATATAAAATAAAATGGGAGTCATAAGGCCACAATCTCTCTTCCTTTTAGAAGTGATTGCATTTTTAATGATGGTTATATTAAGAATAGTGGTTGCCCAAGATGATTATGAAGAAATGTTATCACCTGACTATCTAGAGATAACTGAAGTTCCTGACGGCCCTGATGGTCCTTCTCAATTAGATGATAGCATGAAGCTCAATCCCAATGACTTCGATGTTGTCATGCTTGAGACACACACCAAGAGAGTCCTCCAGGCTTCCAACACCACCTCCACTGCTGCTGGTAATGGAACTGTTAACATCGAGCCTTTCAAAATGTACACAGTGACTGTGACTTCAAGAGCCTCGAACAGCGCTCTCAGAAACAACGGAGAAGACAAGTTCTACGTCCGGATTCAGAATGAGTGCACCTACTCCAACCAGACGACCTGCACGGAAGTGGGCGGGGCGGCCAACACAGTGCCGACTCCGTACGAAGGACTGATGACATACAACGGAGACTCCACTTATTCGTACAACTACACTCTCAGTGTGACTGGCAAGATATCTGTGACGGTGTTTCTCAGGAACACTGGCAGAGTCATGGTTGAGTGGCACAGGAATCAATATCTATCAAATTTTTATTCAAATGCAGAAACCACACAAATCAGCTTTAATTGGGGATCTGGTTACCCTTGATGTGGAAGATATGATTATGTAAGCGCAAAGTTTAGAACATATCTGCGTCCAAACATCTCAGGAACTTATAGTATTTATACTTACTCAGATAGAGGAGCTAGAATTTATGTTGAAGGAGCTACAAAGATGGATTATTGGAACACTAATTATAATGGAGTCAGAGGGTTTACTATGACTTTAACAAAGGATACGAATTACTATATCACGACTTATTACCAAGAAACTACAGGCTCTACTTATTATTATTTGCAATGGATAGTTCCAGGAACTGGGTCACGTGTCACTATCCCTTCAGTCAACTATGTTTGGCCAGAGTTTGTTACAACTGCTCCCTTCACAATTGATGTTGCCTGTCCATCTGGGTATACCCACACTAATACAGACCACCCCAACGAATGCTACCCTGTGTGTGGAGACAGCATGAGGGTCGGAGCCGAAGTCTGTGATGATGGAAACACTCGCTCCAACGATGGATGTGCCGAAGACTGCCTCTCAGTAGAGACCAACTGTACATGAACAGGCGGAAGCGCCTCACAAGCCGACTACTGCTCTTGCCTGACCAGCTTCGTGAACGAAACAGTGGTCGAAGAATATTGTAAGTTGTGTCTAACCTGTAGCCACTGCTTCCAAAGTGATGGTCTTTGCAGTCTTCGGAGTGTTCAGTAAGCCTGTGTGACGAGTATAGCCTCTGTGTCAGTCGCCGCAATCGTAGTTACCGTTATTGTGGAACTGAGACAGCCAATTCAGTACTCTCAGATCCAGCAGAGAAGCATCCGAGTCACACAGAAAGTCAAGGTAAGGATTTGGGTGACTGTAGGCGGACGCTCAGAAGAAGATCGAAGCAGACAGAAGGAAGAGAAGTACCAGATACGAAGCTTAAGGAGACATTATCAAATGTTATAAGTTTCAAGGATAATATAATATCACGGGGTTTTGGGGTTTTGGGGTTTTGGGGTTTTGGGG